CCTGCCCCGCCTGGCTCCAAGTGATGCCCGAGAGCCGAATAAGTTTGGGGCGCTCAAAATCGTGCGCGATGTCGTCGACGTCCTTGACTTTGTAGGACTTGCAAGATACTCCACTAGCTCTGCCTACCTTTCAGCATGCGGTCGGCTTTGCGTTCCCGAAATCTGCGGTTCTTCGCTCGGTGCCGAAGCTGAGTGATGAGCACAGCCGGCGAGCTTGCAATCGACGCTCTCGAAGTCGCCGATTTCTGGTAAATCTTCAAATGTAGTGCCCGGCTGTTCGGCGACGCAATGAAAGGTGCATGCCGTGGCTGGGCGTCCTGGGGCGCTGCCGAAGTTCCCCCTGTCCATCTGCTGCCACTCTTGTAATTGAGTAGCGCGTGGCAGTTTGAGGAACGCGCGCGGTATGGGATTCCTTGATCGGGGTGGTACCACCAAGAGAGTGTTGCGAAATCGCACGCGATGAAATCGGCGGCGTCGGCGATGGCGCGCGCGCGGGAGAGACGCGACGCGTCTGAGCTGAGCCTGCAGCGGGGGCGGCTCCCGGTGACGCACGTCGCGGCTGCGGATGTTTATCGGCGAGGGTTGGGGAACAGTCGGCGGGGGGCCCTGGAGGCCGCGGCGGGGGGGCGGGGGGGGGGCGGGGATCTGGGCGTCGCTCGCGTGGGCCGTCATGGTGGCTTCGGTTTTTGTGATATCGTTTTGCGTCTTCCCAACGCTCTGTCATGGGCCGCGGGCCTCGGCGTCGGTGTCGTGGGTTCGCTGGCAGCAACGGTCCAGCCGATGCTCAACTCCTGGATTCGTCGACGGTGTGTTTCGCGCTCTTGTTCCACACGGGTGAGGGCTTCCTTGGCCCGTGCCTTTTCAATCCCTTTCGCGGGTGATCTGGGGGGGCCGTAACTGCGCGTGGTTCGCCGCCTTCCGTGCCTCAGCCATCTCGGCGGCGAGGGTGGCGAACTCGCAAACCGAAGTCGGGGTGCCCACCTGGCCAATTTGGGTCCGAGCAACACGCAACTCAGCCAGTGCAGCCCGTCGATCAGGCAACTGCTGCTGGAACGTGCAAAGTCGGTTCTCATGCGCTGGCGCACGCCCCTCCGAAACATCTAAACGTTGACCAGTTGCCATGTCGGCATTGCACAGCTTGTCTTGCAACTCGGACGTGGTTTTGGTATTTTGGTGAATGTAGGTTGGCAGTGGTCACGTCAACGTGATGACGAAACGCAATGAGGTCGTCGCGGAGCTGTTGATCCGTAGTCCCATGTACCTCAGTAGCTGGAACCTGCCGCACTGTCAGGAGTTCATCGTGTAGTGTCCCGACGGCAGCAGTGCCCGTATTTTTGACGCTCACGAGTTGGGCCGTTGCGGCGAGGAGGTTGTCGTGCGTCCGGATGGCAGTGGAATCAACACATTGGTGTGACCCCACACGGTCGGCTTGAGATTGGGCCTGCTTTCAAATCCATCGATCCTCGTCGATCCGAGCGCAGACCAAGACAACAGCGTTCATAACCTCTTGCCTCCAAATTGTTGTCGGCGCAGCAGAACCTGACACATGCTGGTTCGTGTAAGTTCAACAGGGCCACTGAACCATGCCAAATCACTGGCGAAGGGTGATGTTTGTGGCGCGATGTCGCGCCGCAGGGAATTATGCAGCGAACGTCTCTGGGAAGGGCTGCGGCTACTGTCCCAATTTTGACAGTGGAGGCGATGCCGTTCGGGGGCTCTTCTCTGTGAGGCCTGTCCCGTGCGATCCTCATAGGACGTCGGGCGTCCCAGCGGCGCTGTCGCGCGGAAGCGCTCGGAAGAGACGTTTCGTTGCGGGCGTTCCCACCAGCGAAGGCTGGAAAAGAAGGCGTCGAGGCGAATCCGGCGGTGGCTACGAGGGCCTCCGCAGGTGTTCCCACCAGCGAGGGTTTTGAACTAATGTTGGCGTCGAAAGACTGAACAATCGACGGCGCGCTGGGTCCAAACCCTGGGGTGTACGATTGCGCCGGCACGGAAGACTGGAAGGAGTACATGTCTGCCTGTCGCGCTCGTCGAAGCGCCGCTTCGAGTCGAGCGTCGGCGCTGCATTTTCACGGTAGGGGGGATTGCTGTATCATGCCCTGTCCCATTGCCCTCTGCGTGTCGTCGCGACGCCCACGCACCGTCGGAAAGCCATCACGCATAGAGGCACTGGTCCCCGTGAGGCCCAGTTCCATGCGGGAGGCTCGAAGGCGGCGCGGGGTGTCGCAACGGAGGGCATAATAGAATAGGCTTGTAACCTGCGAACGGAGGTTGGCAACGAACGAGTCAAATCTACCGTATGATCCGTCGGCAGAAGACAATAGGGAGGAGCAGCGAGCATCTTTCCTCCATGCGCCCGCGGAAGCAGGGGCGCGCAAGGTGTTCAATACCTGAGACCAGAGAATAGCAGAATAGATGGATAGGAAATACTATAAGCGGTCTTCGCACATACATACATGCACACATATGCACCCAAGACGCCCCAAGAAGCCACTAAGAGGTGTCCCAACAGGCCCTCCAGATGCAAACATCGTCACATTCCCCATTGAAAAACATATATTGTTAGCACATTCGCCTCTTAGGCTTTCACGAGGCCCCCAACAGCCCAAGAAGCCTTCAATACCGACCCAAGATAGCCCAAGAGGCATCCAAAAGGGCTCCGAAAAGGCCCAATACGGCTCCAAGACGGCCCAAAGCCTCCAACACGGCCCAAGAGGGCCCCAGGACGGCCCCAAAAGGAGGCCCACAAGGGGAACCCGAACAGACATTTCGAGCACGCGGCACCCAGAAAACCTGAGGAGGCGCCAAGAGGCCCCCAAAAGGCTCCCACGAGGCGGAGGCCTCAAAAGTGCTGCCAAAAGAGCCCAGGGAAGCCCAGGAGCAGAGCCGCGATCCGCCAACCGCCCCCGACGAAATCCCCCAAAAACTGAAACCCCAAGATTCCCCAGAAATCGCGCGCGTTCCGCAAACTCAGTTTTTCACGCTTACTGCCACCCCAAGGGGTCGGCGGAGCGGCGTCAGCTAATGAATCTCTCTCGGCGGCAGAAGACCTAGAGGGCCCCCAAGACGGCTCAAAGGGCCCCCCAAGACGGCCCATGAGGACCCCAAGAGGCCACAAGGCGGCCCCTAGAGGCCCCCAAGACGGTCTCCAAAGGGGCCAGACGGCGCTGGCGCACCAAGACGGCCCAATAGGCCCCAAGAGGCCCCCAAGAGACCGCAAGAACACCTCTAAGATGCCCCAAAGAAATCGCCAAACGGGCCCAAGAAACCACCCAGGCGCTGAAACGGGGGGGGGGTCGCATCCGCCTCCCGCGGTGCTGGCAGCGCCCCGGGGCGGGCAAAACGCCGCGGCAGACGATCAAGGCAAACCACCCAACGCCCAGTCTTTCCGTGCTCTGGATGTGCACCCTGCGAAGCGAGAGGAATCTCTCTCAGCGGCAAACAACTTCGGTTCAAATGCGTTCGCCAAGATTTGTCTCACCATAAATCCTGTGATAACGAACCCCACCAATCACAAAACTGTGGCCTGCGGCAGCCCTGGGGCCTTCTGCATGCGGCGCTGGGCGCGAATCTCAGCAGGCAGGCGACCGAACGTGGGACCCCTGTCGGGCACCTAAAGGGACACCTCGGCAGAAGGTGAGCGAATCCGCTCACGCTGATGGCTTCTCTCGCACCTCCCGGCGCCAGAGACGGCCACGCATTGAGGGAAGGCGCTATGGGGACATGGCCGAAAGCAGCCGCATGCAGCACAGTTCATAGCCCGCCAACTTCCCGATCCCTATCCCCTCTTCCAGCCCGAGGGGAATTATCCTGGCGAAAGGTCCATACTTCTGCAATTGTGGGTACCGCACTCTGAATACAACTTTCGGTGGAGCTCCCTCGGGGACCACGAAACGTGTGAGGGAAATGCCGAAATCGGGCGGGAGCGCCCTGCGAACCCTGCCACTGCGCATTCGGTGGAGCTCCCGATGGGGCCACGACACGTGTGAGGGGTGTGCCGAAACTGGGCGGGAGCGCCCTGCGAACCCTGCCACTGCGCCTTCGGTGCAGCTCCCGATGGGGCCACGACACGTGTGAGGGGTGTGCCGACATTGGGTGGGACCGCCCTGCGAACCCTGCCACTGCGCCTTCGGTGGAGCTCAGACGGAGCCACGAAACGTGCGAGGGGTGAATCGACATGGTGCGGGGCCGCCATGCGAACCCTGCCGCTGGGGCCGTTGGTGGAGCCCCCTATGGGCCCACGACACGTGTGAGGGGGGTGCCGAAATGGGGCGGGGCCGTCATTCGAAACTTGCCACTGGGGCCTTCGGTGGAGCCCTCTATGGGGCCACGAACCATGTGAGGGGTGTGCCGAAACAGGGCGGGACCGCCGTGCGAATCCTGCCACTGGGGCCCTTGCGGAACTTCCTATGGGGCCACGAACCGTGAAAAGGGTGTGCCGAAGCTGATGGCGATGACGATGACGATGACGATGATGATGATGATGATGATGATGATGATGATGATGATGATGATGATGATGATGATGATGATGATGCTGATGCTGATGCTGATGCTGATGCTGATGATGATGATGATGATGGTGATGATGATGATGATGATGATGATGCTGATGATGATTATAATGCTGCTGATGCTGATGCTGATGGTGATTACGATGGTGGTGGTGGTGGTGCTGCTGCTGGTGTTGATGCTGGCGGTGATGATAGTGATGAGGATGGTGATTATGATGATGCTGATGTTGTTGATGTTGTTGTGATGATGCTGATGCTGATGATGATAGGAGGATGATGATGGGAGGAGGGGAGGTTGAGACGTGGGACGATGTCCCTTCAAAACGAGGACCCAGCACCACAGGATGGTTGGAAACAAATAGGGGAAGGCTCATGTGGGTTCCAAGCCACTTCCCCGAAACAACCAGCTCACGTGTCCTCGACTGCAGATCGGGAGAAGGCGGAAAACGAGCCGCCCATTACTGCGGCGGTGAGCGGGGGCGCCGCCTGCAGACCACGCCCTTCTGCCCCACCGTGAGCTGGACTTTGGCCCCCTGGCGCGCGTCCGGTCCTTGTCTCGCCTTCTCAACCTGCCACCTCCCTCCGCCCTCCCTTCTCTTGCTGCGTCTGCCCATCCTCCTCCTCCTCCTCCTCCTCCTCCTCATCCTATTCCTTCTCTTTATCCGTCCTGCTCCTCCTGCTGCTCCTTGTCGTTCTCATCTTCTTCGCATTCTCCGGTCATCGTCATCCTTCCAATGGGGGAATGAGGGGAACGGGTGGGGCGGGTGGGAACCATATAACAGGGGGGCACCGGCTGATTCTGGTGAGCGGACTTTGCCACGCTCGCAGATCTCTCTCATCCTTGCCCTCTCCTACCCCAAGCTCGCCCTCGCATCCGCCCGAACCCGCGGCGGGCGACCCTCTCCTCTGGCTACACATTTTTCCCAACCCTCCTTGGTTGGGTATTCGTTTTGAGTAGAGCAGTGTGGTCTCCACTTCCTCCTTCCCTCCTTCCTTCCTTCCCGCCTCCCTCGTGCCTCCTCCTGTCTTGCCTGCGGGGGGCTGCGATCTGTGAAACTGTCGCCACTTTCGAGGCCTGCTAGGGGGCCTAGCACAGTGGCGCCACACGCAAATTCAAATTAGACCTCGCCATCCCTGGGGGGCTGCGATCTGTGAAACAGTTGCCACTTTCGAGGCCTGCTAGGGGGCCCAGCACAGTGACGCCACTGGCAGATTCAAATTAGACCCCGCCATCCCTGGGGGGCTGCGATCTGTGAAACTGTCGCCACTTTCGAGGCCTGCTGGGGGCCCAGCACAATGACGCCACACGCAGATTCAAATTAGACCCCGCCATCCCTGGGGGGCTGCGATCTGGGAAACTGTCGCCCCTGTCGAGGCCTGCTGGGGGACCCAGCACAGGTGACGCCACGCGCAGATTCAAATTAGACCTCGCCATCCCTGGGGGGGCTGCGATCTGTGAACCTGTCGCTACTTTCGAGACCTGCTGGGGGGCCCAGCACAGTGACGCCACACGCAGATTCAAATTAGACCTCGCCATCCCTGGGGGGCTGCGATCTGTGAAACTGTCGCCACTTTCGAGGCCTGCTGGGGGGCCCAGCACAGTGACGCCACGCGCGGACCCAAATTAGACCTCGCCATCCTTGGGGGCTGCGATCAGAAACCGTCGCCCCTGTCGAGGTCTGCTGGGGGGCCCAGCACAGTGACGCCACACGCAGATTCAAATTAGACCTCGCCATCCCTGGGGGGGCTGCGATCTGTGAAACTGTCGCCACATTCGAGGCCTGCTGGGGGGCCCAGCACAGTGACGCCACGGGCAGATTCAAATTAGCCCTCGCCATCCCTGGGGGGCTGCGATCTGAGATCCCCGCTTTCGAAGTGGCTAGGGTTGCTCAGGGATTGTACCTAATCAGCTTTATCTAGTCCTTGTCCTGTAGCCAGTGTCCTGCGAGTCTCCCGAATTCCGTCTGCAGACATATGTAACCCTCGCTCCGTCATCGCCCCCCTTTTAAAGTCTCCTAAACTATTTGCGCCCCGCGTTTGCGCAGGGGTTAGGTACGTCGCCAGGGTAATTTGGTGAAGTCGCCCCCCTGGCCCTTCGACCACTGCCCCGGGGGACAGATTCTCATCCTGAGTCTTTGTTTGGCACCCCTGGGCAAAGAAACGGGCTCCAGAGGCCGACAACGACGGAAAACTGGCCGTTGCTAGTTTTATTCCCAACCCTCCTTGGTTGGGTATTCGTTTTGAATAGAGCAATGTGGTCTCCACTCCCTGCTTCCTTTCTTCCCGCCTCCCTCTGACCTCCTCCTGTCTTGCCCGCGGGGGGCTGCGATCTGTGAAACTGTCGCCAGCTTCGAGGCCTGTTGGGGGGCCCAGCACAGTGACGCCACGCGCAGATTCAAATTAGACCCCGCCATCCCTGGGGGGCTGCGATCTGTGAAACTGTCGCCACTTTCGAGGCCTGCTGGGGGGCCCAGCACAGTGACGCCACGCGCGGACCCAAATTAGACCTCGCCATCCCTGGGTGGCTGCGATCTGTGAAACCGTGTCGAGGCCTGCTGGGGGGCCCAGCACAGTGACGCCACACGCAGAGACCTCGCCACTGGGGGGTCGCCACTTTCGAGGCCTGCTGGGGGGCCCAGCACAGTGACGCCACACGCAGATTCAAATTAGACCTCGCCATCCCTGGGGGGGCTGCGATCTGTGAAACTGTCGCCACTTTCGAGGCCTGCTGGGGGGCCAGCACAGTGGCGCCACACGCAGATTCAAATTAGACCTCGCCATCCCTGGGGGCTGCGATCTGTGAAACTGTCGCCACTTTCGAGGCCTGCTGGGGGGCCCAGCACAGTGATTCAAATTAGACCTCGCCATCCGGGGGGCTGCGATCTGTGAAACGTCGCCACTTTCGAGGCCTGCTGGGGGGCCCAGCAGTGACGCCACACGCAGATTCAAATTAGACCTCGCCATCCCTGGGGGGGCTGCGATCTGTGAAACTGTCGCCACTTTCGAGGCCTGCTGGGGGGCCTAGCACAGTGGCGCCACACGCAGATTCAAATTAGACCTCGCCATCCCTGGAGGGCCGCGATCTGTGAAACTGTCGCCACTTTCGAAGCCTGCTGGGGGGCCCAGCACAGTGACGCCACGCGCAGATTCAAATTAGACCTCGCCATCCATGGTGGGCTGCGATCTGTGAAACTATCGCCAGTTTCAAGGCATGCTGGGGGGCCCACAACACGCAGATTCTAATTTGAATCTGCGTGTGGCGTCACTGTGCTGGGCCCCCCAGCAGGCCTCGAAAGTGGCGACAGTTTCGCAGATCGCAGCCCCCCAGGGATGGCGAGGTCTAATTTGAATCTGCGTGTGGCGTCACTGCGCTGGGCCCCCCAGCAGGCCTCGAAAGTGGCGACAGTTTCAAAGATCGCAGCCCCCCGCAGGCAAGACAGGAGGAGGCAAGAGGGAGGCGGGAAGGAAGGAAGGAGGGAGTGGAGACCACACTGCTCTATTCAAAACGAAAACCCAACCAAGGAGGGCTCGGAATAAAACTAGCAACGGCCAGTAAACATCCCGGCTCACATCCGATACTCTTACATTCTTTTCCCCTCACATCCTACCGTCGCCCTATCATCTGTGCCTCTCTTCTCTGCTCATCGCGCTGGGACCGTTTGTAGAATGCCGCCGAGTACGAGGGCGCCGGGAACGCCCCTGGGCGCAGAGAGGGGTGATTCTCAGGCAGAGGTGGTGTCGCGCATCACTGCGTCTCCTGAGGGCCACGAGGACAAGCGGGCCCGCTTGAAGAGCCCGTTGAGCAGCCCACTAAAAGAGATGGATGGGGTCACGGGCGGGCCTCAGGCCAGTGGAGCTGCTCGTGAACTTCACTTCGATGGCCCTCACACGCCGCCCGGGGCTGCTCCCGCTCCCGTTACCATGGACGGCATCGCCAAGCTCCTGAACGCCACCTGGGACGAGAAGCTGAGTGCACAACTGGCCCCATTGTCCCTGAAAGCGTCTCATCTTGAGGGGAAGTACGGTGAGCTATCCAGCAGCATGGGCGTGCAAGCAAGCGAAGTAGACAAAAGGTTCAACGACATGCACCAAAACTTCGAGAAGCACATCGCCAGCACCAAACAGGACATTTCCTCCTTGCATGGATCTCTTGGTTCTTCTCCTGGGTTATCCGCTCAGACTACCCCCCGGGCAGGGTCGAATCCAACTGTGTTCATTGGAGGTTTGAGCAACTTTGCATATCAGGACGTGGCCAGGGAATGGTTGCGAAATCAGTTTTGGAACGCATACATCGACGAACCACTTGACATGCACTTCAATGGACACTCGTTCAAAGGTGAGCCGTTTGCAAAATATGCCACTCAAGCGGAGGCCGAATCCATCGCGAAGAAGATCAAAGAGGCCAACCTGGAGCACGATAGCGAGAAGGTGCACGCCAAGTTGGACTTCCCTGTCAGCGTGCGCGTGCTCCGGAGCGTAATGTGCACCAGCAAAGACGTTCTTATTGACGGAGGCTGGGACAGGACAGCTTTGTGGTCCGATACCGATACCTATAAATTGTGGTGTGGGGCCGACGTGGTTCTCACGGCTTCGATTTCTGAGGGCAGTCTTTCAGTGTGTTTCGAATCTGGGTGGCGCGAGTACTTCCCGGGCGTGCCAAAAATGGGATGCCCTTGTCGGTGCCTCCAACAAGAAGCTCAATGACAGCAAGACTCCAACGAAAGGCCTTGGCAAGGATAAGACCAAAAACAAATTGACGGGCCACTCCTCGAGCGCCTCTGCAGGCGCCGGCCATTAGGGACAACTCCAGCCAGACACATGTTTCACCTTAGACTCCGGCAAAACTTCGCTGGTCTTTCTTGGCAAAAAAAACGCCCGTATTGCATCCGATGAAAGATTGCAGGAGGTAGTTGCAGAATTAGACACTATGAATTGAGATATTGTTCTCTTCTCCGAAACGAGAGCTCCAAACCGCTCGTGTGAAGTCACTGGAGGGCACGCGCTTTACACAAGCGGCAAAGGCCACGATGCCACAAGTGTAGGTGTCCTCGTAAACGCCAGACACGCCGGCAAGCACGTATCTGTTGACATCAGCGACCGGGTCATGTACGTCGATTTGGAACTGCACGGAAAAACGCGCAAAGCAATCGCAGCGTACCTTCCGCATGCCGGCTACCCCGCCATGTTCGTGGACGCGATCTACGAGCAGTTGTCCGCCTGCTGCTGGACACCGCGAATTTGCATCGTCGGAAACGATTTCCAAACAGAGCTGCATGAGCCAGTACGGGGGGCTGCGCTGCTCGATTTTGCGTCGAGGGGGAAGCAGTCATTCTGCAACAATTCTGGGGACTGGACGTTTCGAAGCAATCTGGGGAGATACCGTCTTAGCGACTACATCCTGATCGGTTCGCGTGCCAGATGCATTACGAGTGGCAACATAAATCTTCTTGACCAAGGGCCAGACCATCGTGCCGTATCCGCTACCGTAGTTCAAGGTTGCCAGACAATGGACAAGCAGACAGCGAAACTCTCG